GAACAAAGAGTTGTTTTTGTCTATTTATTAACAAGTCATATAATGCCAAAATTTTTTTAAATGATCAAATAAGACTTTTATACCTAGAAAAACAAAGCCTTCTATATGATTCTGTGCTTCTCTTAAATATTCATGATTTGAAATTCAGCCGCTGATCCAGCAATCCAAGGTGTGTCTGTTTCCCAGTCTTCCTATAAATGCTGATTAAATCAAGGCCTATCCTACAGTAGGTGCTCAGTAAATATGTGGTATGTGAACTATTAAATAGTTAATTCTGCACATGGTAGAAAATATGCATTTCTAGTCCCGTGTCTGACACAGCGATTCATACCAGTCTGCTTCCCACAGTTCTTCTGTTGCTTCTTCTTGAGTGAGAAGGACTTAAAGTATGTTTGCTGACAACATATTCTCAGTAACAAAGCTAAAGAATGAATATTTGGTCATGCTGTGGTTTCATTATTATTTCTCAAGGTAAATTGAAAGAATGGTCTTTGGTCCTCTATGGCACCTCTGTGCAGCCATATTCACCAACCAACGAGTTTCCTAAAATAGAACGTTTCCGCTATAGCCGAGTTGAAGACCCCACAGACGACTATGGTACAGAGGACTATGCAGGTGAGCTGGCTTCCGGTGGGACACAGGGTAAGGAAAGGAAGCTCATGGATCAACCCCACAAGGGGGATTATATCATAATGGTATTACAGTACACTACCCATGTTCTGAAATATTTTCTTCCATCTTATTTTCTAATCCCTCCAAATATTTGTGTTTCTGTGTATTGGTAATATTCACATATTTAAACATCCATACTAAAATTTATTTAACCCATAATCAGAGATGCATAGTTTGCTTAAGAGTCTTATACTATTTTAAATAAGGTTTCAGTGAATATCAATATTTATCAGTCTTTGTCTACATCCTTAATTAGTTCTGTAGAATAGAGTTCTGTTTTAAGATTTACTACATCAAAGGGGATAATCAGTTTTAGGGCTTGGAAATATTTTGTCACATTGCTATCCAGACAAGATGTACCAGTCTACACTGTGACCAGCTGTGTGAGTGTTTATTGTACTCATTCCTGCCAGCATTGACCAGAAAAGAAAAAGAAAAGTAAAAAAAAGGAAAAAGAAATGCACGTTTTAAAGTTTTTATAGCATTGATTGCTAGTAAATCTGAACATTTTTTCCTCTGTAGATCTCTGAATTAAATACAACTATCTTTTATCTGTTTTTCTATTCAAGGTGGCAGTAATTCTCATCTATTTATGAGAAGTCTTTGTATATTATTGTTTTTCACATTGTCTCATATTTGTTGAAAACATTCTCAATTATCAGTTGCTTCCCAAGAGTAATTTTTGTATTGTTTTGTATTGTTTTGACAGGGAAAAAAAAAACTATTAAGAGAGTAGGGTTTATAGTTTCAGATACAACATTTGTGATTTTTTGCAGAAGTTTTATCCTCTAAGATCAGCTAAATAGTCACATGCTTTTTTGGTAATCTCTTATTTTTTACATTTGGCCATTAATTCATCTGGAACTTATTTTGGTTTATAATATATAGTGTGAATTGAAGCTCTGTCTTTAGTTATTTTCCAAACAGGCTAACATCATGGGCTGAATAACTGTCCTTTCTTTTTTATTAGCGTAGGATGCTTCCTACATGGTAATATAGTAAGTTCTTATACCAGGATCTCCTCTGGTACCACCTTTTCTGATTCATCAGTCTAATAATTCTCAAACCAATACCACCCACACTGTTTTACTTATTTTCATTTCATGATGTATTTTAATATCTGCAGAACATCTGCTTTTCATTTTCATAGCAATTATTGCCCTATTGTTCTTCCAGATGAATTTTAGAATGATTTTTTTAAGTCCTCCTTTAAAAGTCCCATGGGATTTTAAGTTGAATTTATGTGCAATCTCATGGGAAGAATTGTTTTTACAATATACAAGCTTTCCATCTAAAACATAGACTATGTCTCATTTTACTGAAATCTTTTTATTTTAGATTGTTTTCTCCTTGTTAGTGTTACACTAAGTATTTTGGGTCTTTTTGCTCTTGCAGTGTAAACTATGCCATGCTTTCTAACTAGTATATGCTTGTATATAGGAAATCTATTGGCTGTTGCACATGTATAACATATATACAGTCATATATATGTCTACTTTGCTTAACTTATTTAATTTATATGTTTTAGAGTTGATTTTCCAGGATGTTTTAGGTACATATCGCCTGCAAATTTTTTTTTTTTTGTCCTTCTCATTACATTTCTGATTACTGTCTTGATGCATTGGCTAGCACTTCTAGGAATATTCAGTCCTTTTGAGATATGATATATAACACATAATGGACAAAACTTCTCCTAATGGAGAACTGTTTATAATGCACCTTTAGATGAGAAATGTTTTTTTCTGCAGTTCTGAGATTTTTCTTTAGATACTGAAGATAAAACTACTTCATCAATCACCTGAACAGACTATCTCAAATATCCATATAGTTCCTTTTATTCTAAATAGGTAGTATCCTAGAGTTAATAACATGCTTGGATAATTAAGACCAATTGAACTAAACAGAGCTACATTGTGTTAGATTTTGTCTTGTTTTGATTTGAGCTTGTAACATTACTATTTATAAATAGAAAACCATTTTGTCTCCTCTAATAGGAGAAAGTGTATCCAAAAACATAAATGAGCATAATATTACTCTTTACCTTACTCAAATTCTGATAATACTTCCCACTCAAATTTTGGTAATGTTAAGATTCTGAACAGTTATATATCTTTTTGATTTTTCTGATTACATCTCTAAAACATTGACATTGGCCCTTGTGAGGGAACAAGGACAATTATTTCATTATTATTCTGCAACCTACAATGCTAAACTGCATCTGGGACAGTTTAAGATTATAAAAGAAACAGCATAGCACGGGACCTTTGCCATACAGAGCCCTTTGGGCATATCTCAAGAATAAATGTTTTGTATTTTTTTTTTTAATTCTAGAAATCATCTGGTGAAAATTTAGGGCCACCCATGACTCCTCTTATGTGGAGCTGTGATTTTCACCTTCATTTAGAAGTAAGCCCGATTAGAGGCACAGATGGCATTATCAGAACCAGATCCCTGTACTGTTTCATTGAATCCCAGGAACTGTGAGACCACAGCTGGGTGAACTTGAACCTTCATGCAGCAGTGACACCACTACCTTGGTGTGCAACGGTAGACAGCTAAAATATCCTAAGTTGTACTAGCTCTGGAATTTAATTTAGAGATCCATTTAAAGCTTTGGGGGAAATAGAAATAAACGATGTTGTCAAATGATTCTTGCAATTAATCAGAGGGATATTTCAAGTCTGCAGCATTTTGAAATGACATATTTCCATTCAGATCAAGAGGTCATCTCTAGTATATGATTTGCTACCTCTAAGCAGGAAACCATAAATAGGTATCAGGACCTACGTGTATCCCAATTCTCCTGGCCATAGGATATCTGTGCCTGAAGTACTGCTTTGCAATCCAAGACTGGATGCTAATAAGTTTGCGCCAGGTGCCATTTGATGTCTTTCCGGCCACAGTATTTCAGATGTATTCAGTGGCATTTAATGACCATAGTGTAACGCTTGGAAAATCAGATTTTTCATCAGTAAGATAATGATATTTGAAAAATCTCAGACTTTTCTCTAAGTCAGTTCACCCCAGTTCTAACATTTTATATCTCTGTGATTTAGTAATTATAAAACATGGTCACATAATGACTAGAGGAATCCCAAGTTCTACTGTAAATCCTTTTGATTAAAATAAGTAGGATTCAAAATATTCCTGGTATCCTTGACTTACTGTTTGCACATTTCATGCAATATATTTATGGCTAGTTAAAATCATATGAGTTTTCAGTGGGAAAGATTTTGAAGATTATGAATCCAAATGTCCCAAAATACAGAGAACAAAAAAAAAAGAGAATTAAAAACTTCTATAAGGAGCCCATGTCATTAGACAGCTTTGCATCAGTCATAAAATAACTCCATCTTTCTGGCTTTTTTTTTTTTTTTCGTACTGTGCATTCCCTCAAGTTCTATACCAAAGAATATGTAGCAAGAGAGATGCAACTTTCATTCCAGGTCTGGAATTCTTTAAGCTTGCTCAAATTTTTTTAATTTATATGTCATTTTCTTTTGTTGAGCTGCCCATTGGCCCTCGGAAGGATGTAATTTTAAATCTATTATCTGTGCCTGAAGTACCTGCATTGTAATCCAAGACTAGATGCTGATAAGCTTGTGCCAGATGTCATAATGATGTTTCTTGCTGGCCACAGTATTTCAGAGGTATTCAATGGCTTTAATGACCATGGATGAGACAGGCAATTTGGTCCAGGCATTGAATAATCACCATTTTTTTCTTTTTTGTCAACAACTTTTCATTTTTCTATGCATCCAACATTTTATTGTTATGCATATTTAATTGCAGTTGTTTTTTTTCCCAGTTGCTACAGTTCATTTGAATGCTGAAATATTTGTTATTTCCCACAAGGCAGCCATACGTGCTTTGAAGACCAGACCATGACTAGCATTTACATTCTTGATAGTCAGTTGAGGTTACCTAAGAGTCAAAAGTCAAAAACATCAAGGGTTCATCTCTGGACTTAGAGCCACATTGACCATTATTCCTCCATCTTTACCTCTCTTTGCATAAGAAAAAAAGGTCTTATTTTATATTAAATTCAAGGTAAAGCGGACCTGACTTTATAATCTATAATTTATCATTTATCATCTATAATCACTTTTTCCAAATGTTGTTCTATTCTCTTTTGGGAAGGTCCCTGTGACCCTGAGTGCAGTGAGGTTGGTTGTGATGGGCCGGGACCAGACCACTGCAATGACTGTTTGCACTACTACTATAAGCTGAAAAACAATACCAGGTAAGAGAGAGAGGCCACATCAGATCCCTGCAGCATGTCCCAGGTGTCCCCATGGGGCCAGTGCCACAGAGTTCTCCCTCCAGGACCTAAGCACAGAAAAGAGGCCACTGTGCTTGTCCACTGCCTCCTGTATAATTCAAAATGATGAAAATTATACTGAATCACAGCATGTAATATGTGCATGCATGCTATGAAACTGCCAAGGTCTTCTCCCACATTTGGAGGGTTGATGGGGAAGGAGAAGCTAAGCACGTGCCCCTCTAGACTTTCCTTTGTCTTTATTTGTGTCAATTGACAGGTAAAAATTGTATATAATTGTGCTGCACAACATGTTTATACATATACATGCACACACACACATATCTTGGAATGACTAAATCAAGCTATTTAACATACGCATTACCTCCATTACCTCACATACTTATCTTTATCATGGTGATTCACCACCATGGCCTTCCTCTGAGACTCAATTCTAGCCATCATTCCTTTTAAAGAGCCAGATGCAAACTAGGACCTAGTTTGCAACACGAGATGCCTTCCTGGGTGGACATGACATTGGGTCACTGCATTGCTACTTCGACAGCCTGCACGGGAGGAAACTTTTTTTTATTTTTTGAGACAGAGTCTCACTTTGTTGCCCAGACTAGAGTGAGTGCCATGTTGTCAGCCTAGCTCACAGTAACCTCAAACTCCTGGGCTCAAGCAATCCTGCTGCCTCAGCCTCCCAAGTAGCTGGGACTACAGGCATGCGCCACCATGCCCGGCTAATTTTTTCTATATATATTAGTTGGCCAATTAATTTCTTTCTATTTATAGTAGAGATGGGGTCTTGCTCTTGCTCAGGCTGGTTTCAAACTCCTGACCTCGAGCAATCCGCCCGCCTCGGCCTCCCAGAGTGCTAGGATTACAGGCGTGAGCCAACGCGCCCAGCCCACAGGAGGAAGCTTTTTAACATACAGAATTAGGCCCTCTGGATGTAGTGTTGGCATCCCGGCTTGAAACTGAGTTTGAGGCTGAGTTCAGCTGTTTGCTTAGCACCTCCAGGAGAAGGCCGAGGACTGACTGAGCCACTAGTGACGCTGCCTTCCTCCTTCTCGTTCCGCAACGCAGGATCTGTGTCTCCAGCTGCCCCCCTGGCCACTACCACGCGGACAAGAAGCGCTGCAGGAAGTGTGCCCCCAACTGTGAAGCCTGCTTCGGCAGCCACGGCGACCAGTGCCTGTCCTGTAAATACGGATACTTCCTGAACGAAGAATCCAACAGCTGCGTTACTCACTGCCCTGATGGGTCATATCAGGACACCAGTGAGTTGACTTCAAATATTTGGGTTTTAGAGAAGAAAATGTGGGGATTTCGTTCAAGTGACCTTGGGAGGGTTAGTCCTCCTTGTTGAAATCTGGGCTTTGCTTCATGTCAGACAGGATCTAGCCAATTTATTTTAAGAGGACAGTTTAGAAGCTTTGTGTACAAATTCCTGTAAGTAACTTCGTCACGGGACCTTCAAGACCACGGCCTTAGTCAGTGATTTGCTAGGAGTACTCACAGTACTCCCGTTACAGTCATACCCGTGTACTCACGGGGGTGATTTGTCACAGCAAAACGTACAAAGTAAAATCAGCAAAGGGAAAAGGCGTATGGGACAAAGTCCAGAGGAAACCAGACACAAGCTTCCAAGGGTCCCCTCACAGGGAAGTCACAAGAGGACATGTTTAACACATCGACTGCCACACTAGGGAAAAAATTTTTTTTTCCTTAGGGCCACGGTGTTTTATTACAAAAATAGAATAACAACTTCAAAAACAAAATAGTCCTTTCGAATGTAACGAAAATTTTTTTTTATTTTTTATTGTTTTCTGTACTTGAGTTATCTGCAACTTGAAAAATAGTTCACACGGCTGCCAAGGTGAAGAGACGTGTGAGTTACATATGCTTCATGAGGCCCCCGGCTGAAAACCAGAGTGAGTTAAATACAACTCACGTGGCAGTTAATGTGTTCGTTGCCCCAGCAAGTTTGTGACAACATGCAACCCCATGTTGAGGGAACCTCATTAGAGACCCAGAGCCCAGGGTTGATACTGGGGGCTGGTCAGGCCTACCATGGACCACAATTCCAGACTCCCAGAAGGAAATGAGGTTTTTTTCATCATAAACCGTATTGTTTGTACAAATGGTTTTAGACAATATGAGCCACGCTTGTGAGGGTGATGGGGACCCTCCCAAAATGGAAGTTGCCAAATGCCAGCCAAGGGCCGGCCTTATAAGCTGACTTGCAGCAAGGCCTGCAGTCTTCTGCATGCTCACCACATGGGCACCAGGCCTGTCTGGTATCAAAATGTACTTTTTGAAAAGTTCAAAAAGCATGACATTTTTATAAATGTAGAATGAACATGTGTCAAAGACTTATTTATCCCGTTAATGATGGAACATGTAAGATGATAAATGGGTTCGAAGACGATCAGGTACGACAGTCTACCAGGAAAAGCAAAGTGAAATCCTTTTGCTGAGTTAGAAACAAAATGGAATAATTTTCCACAGGGCAGTCCAATTAGAATGTTGGCCGGGTATTTCTTCTAATGGATAGAAATCATTTGCAACTTTACTGTGCATTAACATGTAACTTCACAGAGTTTGGGCCCTAATCAGCTGTCATTAGCAAACAGACAGTGGCACATTGCCCTTTGGGCAGATGTGTTAGTGCTCCAATGTGGCCCTGGAAAGGGCTACAGGTAACTTTTACTTTATTTCTGAGTTCTGGATAATTTGTCTTAACAAGGATGTCACATCATGATATATGATGGCATAAGATTTCATGTTTTTGTACAGTCTAAGAAAAAGAAAACTCAAATTTAAAGGAACAAGAATTGTTTTTTAAAAAAGAAGTAAAATTCTCTCTTGATTCCAAGGCTGGTATTTATTTCTCTATGATGAAGGTAGAGTTTCCTAACATGCCCTGTAGAGCAATGAGTATGGACTTCCCTGTAGTTCTTATTTGCCCCCAAATTTGGAACATGAGCTTCAACTTGATGGAGAAAGGAGAAATTGGGAGAGAGGAAAGGGAATAAGGGATTTGCAGAAATATGCCATATTCCTTGGGGTGGGGAGGAGTCCAATTTCTATCAAGAAGTCCGAGCCTCAGAAAAGAAATTTGGTTCTAGAATATCGTATGACAGGATCAAGATAATTGAGAGAGTCAGTTAGTTCTGTTTTCAGAGCCTGGGAGGTGGATAATTAAGAAAGGCTATTAATTTCAGCTACCACACAGTGTTGATACAAGTGATCTGTGTATCTCTCACCTTCTACATAATTGCCTTTGTTATAGTTTCCTCTTCTAATGAGTCCATTTATATACAATATAGTGACCACATATGATCATGACTAGTAATAATTACAATGCTTAATAGTTCATATGGTTCCCTTGAATAATTTCATTAACTTCTTAAGACAAGCTGAGAGGCAAGTATCATTGCAATCTCCATTTAACAACTGAGAGAAGAGAGACCCTGGATTTGCCCACCAAAGGTGCTCAAAAGCAGAATATGAACCCAGGTCATCTGAGTTCAGATTCTATGCCATGTCTAGTATTCTCAATGACACAGTGACTCAATGACACAGAGACCATCTGATAACTACCCTATTTGTAAAGGGCTTCGTATTTCGTGCTGAGAGCTCAGTCTAGATCTAGCATGTCCTTGCAGACATCCATTAAAGCAGTGTTCTGTGTGGAATGCTGAAGAACACTGACATTTAAAAAGCAGATAGAGGAAGAGAAACCCATGAACAAAGCTCCATCAGGTTCTACACGTATATGTGGATAGAATCCACTTGCACATCAGAGCAGGTACCAAGTCTCCAGCAAAATTTTGTCTAAGGTAAAAGGCCTTCCTTAATATACCAACTCACACCTGTATTCCCAGCTACTTGGAAGGCTGAGATGCGAGGATTGCTTGAGGCCAGGAGTTTGAATCCACCCTGAGCAACGTAGCAAGACCCCATCTCTAAAGATATATATATTTTTACATATATGCCAAATCATTATTTTCCACTATAAAACAACTGTGAATTTGTCATTTTTTTTAAATAATATGGACCTGGTATTAAACAGGAAAGCCAGCCTTCACAGTATATTTGTTCAAACCAATATATTTCTATTCTCCAGAATATAGATATTATCTGAAATATAATGACATTTATATTATTTCCATGGCAGCTATAAAGTGCAAAATACTAGTTTAGACAATGCACGAAATAAGGAATTACCTCGTAGGGTGTTTTTTGTGTTTTTGCTTTTTTGGGTTTTTTTGAGACAGAGTCTTACTCTGTTGCTCGGGCTAGAGTACCAGGGCATCAGACTAGCTCACAGCAACCTCAAACTCCTGGGCTCAAGCAATCCTTCTGCCTCAGCCTCCAGAGTAGTCGGGACTACAGGCATGCGCCACCATGCCCGGCTAATTTTTTCTGTATATTTTTAGTTGGCCAATTAATTTCTTTCTATTTTTAGTAGAGACGGGGTCTTGCTCTTGCTCAGGCTGGTTTTGAATTCCTGACCTTGAGCCACCCTCTCCCCTCGGCCTCCCAGAGTGTTAGGATTACAGGCGTGAGCCACCGCGCCCGGCCTCTTACTGTGTTTTTAAATGTGGGTTCCCTTTCCTAGTACAGCTCATCAGAACAGTCCTGAAAGCTATAAGCATGGGCATCTACCGCCCCATTCAGCAGCCTCCAGCATTGCTTCTCAGTCCACACATAGCGGCATTGGCACAGCTTCATGAGTGGAATTTTCATTATTGGAAGCTAGGGAACCCTACTTGGGAGAGAGAATGGGAAGAAGAGGGGGAAAGCCTATAAACTATTCAACTAAGAGTAAACTGGGCTGTAGTTCTCTCGTCTGCAGAATGGCAGGGAAGTCTAAGGTGTTTCCCAGTATTTCAGTTCCTGCCTGGTTTGCTGAGAAGTGGTAACAAATGGTGATTTGGGTGCTTTTGCTGTAATTTTCTACTCAAGGCCATGGGTACTGTAGCATACATTAACTAACATTAAAACATCTCCACAGGCTTTTATGGAATCCAGTTTACCTACTGATTTATAACTTTTTTTTTTTTTTTTAAAAACAGAGAAAAATCTTTGCCGGAAATGCAGCGAAAACTGCAAGACGTGTACTGAATTCCACAACTGTACAGAATGTAGGGATGGGTTAAGGTAAGAGAGTGAAGGATTTCATCAAGCCACACAGCCCAGGGAGCTTCTCAATGTAGATAAACTGAAAAAGAAATAATAATAAATAAATAACGCTCTCCCTATCTACCCTTGGTTTGACTCCCATTCGAGCTCTTGGTTGCTATTTGCATTATCTCCACCATTATAGGTGAGAAATTGGATGCCATCTTGGCTAAAGAAGGGTTATAAGCCAAATAAATTCTCTTTAGAAAAGATGGCTCCGATACAGAGTCAGTAAAAATGACCCTTTGAGAGGCATTCTTCGTGCCTGTGTGCCTACATTGTGCCAGTCAACGATTACTATGCGGGTAGTGCCAATGAGTTATACTGAATCCTTTGATTCATTCCTCGGATGGTCGGAAATTATTCCCTTATCTTTATTATTTCTCTCCACATAGCCAATCATTCTCTTATCTTAAGTACCTCAGGCTTGTTTCCATTATGCTGCGGTGTGCGCACAGATTTAACACCGGGAGATGAGTTCCTTGAGTGGACGGCTAGCTCCTCGCTAAAGCTGGGAGAGTTGGTCCACGCTGGGAGAGAGCAACACGCAGCTCAAATGAACTATGTAGCCTCTTAGCTGAGAAAGTCACACCATTTTATGTTGAGTGAGAAGTTGGACTTCTGGCTTTAGATAGACTTAGAATTCTGCAGGGCTGCAGGGCTGCACTAGCCCTCTTTTAAATATTGATTACACCTTTATTTTCACCTTTGATCAGAGGTAAAATGGGCAGAGTCTAGGCAGTTTCCAGGAAGGTCATTCTTTCTAGTACTCAGTATGGGTTGGTTGATAAAGCAGTGGCAGAAAAGAGAGAAAGGGAGTGAGAAGAAAAATTTAAAAAGAAAAAAAAAAGCGATCACTATGAGAACATCCTTTTCATTTAGATTTCCGATTACCTGTGGCTTTATTTCTTTTTTGCCTTATGAATGCATTCCGTGTTAATTTGCTTAGCACCTTTCATCGCAAGACTTCAACCTTGATAAATAACAGTTTATCTAGCTTCCTAATTACTTCTTGGAAAAGGAGCAGATGTGAGCTCAAATCATCCTTTGCTGTTTATTAGCTGTGTGATCCTGGGCAAGTCACTTAACCACTCTGAGTCTCCGTTTTCTTATCTATAAAATGGTGATAATAACCCCTACTTTGCTGGATTATAAGGTTTAACTGTGATAACATTTATAAGGTACTTATTCCATCACCTGTCACAAAATTGGTCCTTGAGAACTAAAGGATTATTTAAATTATTTTAGTTCTTAGGGAACATTTTACAGAGTGAGTTAAACCACTTCACACCAGTAGAAATATGAGAGCCATAAATGTAATTTTAAATATGCCAGTAGTCATATTAAAAGAAATAAAAAGATACAGGGGAAATTGATTTTAATAAAATATTTTATTTCACTTAGTATATCTAAAATATTATCATTTCAACAATATCAAAAAGTATTAATGAGCTGTTATATATTCTTTTCATTGTTGTATTAAGTCTTCAAAATCTGGTGTGCATTTTGCCCTCAAAGCACATCTCAATTCGGACAAAAATTTTTTATGAGAAATACTTGATCTGTATTTAGCTTTTATAAAATCTAGTGGAAAAAGAAAATTTTACATCGCCAAGTTATTCCAGACTTACTCAAAATGTTGCCAGTAATGGAATCAAGTGCCAACTTTTCACATTAGACTTAATTAAAATTAAATAAAATGTAAAAGCCCATTCCTTGGCCACACTAGCTACCTTTCAAGGGCTCGGTAGCCCCGTGTGCCTGGGCATGTTGGACAGGACAGGTGTCACCTGCTCTGTTTATCACAGACACAGTGGAGGCGGTCACAGCACCACGCATGCTGGCCTCGCTGCCGTACCTGTGTTTGGAAGCAGCAGAAAGCTTCAGGGCTCGGTGACTGCTGCCTGTTTTCCGTCCCCCTGAGTTCCTTCCTTCCCCACACAGTGCTACCTCTGTCTCCTGCTGAACAGATGCCAACCTCACAGGAAAGTGCTGTCCTGCATTAGAAAAACTAGGCAGTTTTTTAAAACTTGCATAAGCTTTTTGGTGGTCCTATTTCTTTCCACAAAAGGATCCATTTGAGGCAATGTCATTTTTTTCCTAGCGCTACAGAAAGGGAATGGGATTTTCTTTCGCTGGCTTTTTAAATGACAGCTCTCTGGCCAGTGAGAAGATGTATGAATGGAGTACACTTTCATTTATGCTGCCCTCAGTCCCCTTGTGGCCCTTTACATTTTTCTAGGGGCTTCTAGGGTTGACAGTTTTGCCTCGAGAGACTTGTACATTTTTAAATAGTGGCTAAAAACAAACAGGGGAAAATGTCTGTGCATAAAATCCAGGAAGGAAATGAATTAAAATGCTAACAGGGACTCTTTGGGATTCTTTTCTTCATCTACTTTGTTCTTGTACTTTCCAAATGTCTTTAACGGACATAAAGAAAAATAAATGTTAATTTATTGGGTTTAAGACTAGCCAAGTGCAGTAGTGAGAAGGAAATTGTAGTTTCTCAAATTAGTATGATCCATATATGAAGAAGTCAAACAAGATGCCAATTGGTACAATAGAAAGAGTTTAAGAAAATAGAAACCCTTTGACCTCGTTGCTTAGATACACATCTTCTAGTGTCATTGATTTGGTGACATAGGTTTATGTTTCTGATGATATTAGTTATTTAATGGATAATATTTTATATTAAATATTGTAAATTTTATGTATTTGTTTTGAATTTTAAGAATCAACCTGTAGACTATGAAAAATGTCATAGCTGACAGAAATTCGGATGGAGAGAAAAATATACATTCCTCATTTGACATTCCGACAACTCATTGGATACTGTCTCATAGTGCTAGATAGAGAAATAGAAATTTAAATAAATTATTTAATATGGTGTAGATAACTCCCAGAAGCACTAAATAATAGTAAAACTAAGAAAAGTTGAGTTTGGGGAAGCAACAATATAGATAGATAATTTTGCTAAATTTATTAATATCATTTAGAGTGTTTAAAATGAACAAATTAAGGAACAGGCAAAAGTATATTAGAATTTTGTTTTTATGGGAACCAACATAACACTAACATCAGCAGCACTTAAAAACAAAAATGTCTACTCTAAGGAGTTTGGGCTAGGGGTTGGGCAGGGGTAGTTGTATACTTTTATTCAAGCATAATTCATTTTAACCATGTGTTCCCAGTGCATTTACAATTATAAAATAACTTTAAGATTTATTATATAGTAAGTCTGGATATTAGGGAATTGGTAGACATATTGTCAGGCAATGTGATTGTTTTATCAAACGCTTTACAAAACCTCTGGGCTGTAAGATGTTGGGCAAAGTTGGAATGTGTCCATCAGTCTAACAAATTAAGGAGAATGTCCCCAAAGCTTAACAGCACATGTACAGGCTACAGGCATCATTAGAGGCACAGAGAAGCATTATAGGCATCAGGAGGGGGAAAAAAGAGGGTACAGGGGCTATTTCCCCTGCTTTGAAGCTTTGCCAAATCCACTGGTCTGTGCAGGGAACTGTATTTGTTACATATGGAGCTTGGGGAGTCGTTACTGCTCTGCCTGGATCGCAGCAGTCTGTTTAAAGCTCCGTTTATATTTCTCCTAGCCTGCAGGGATCCCGGTGTTCAGTGTCCTGCGAGGATGGGCAGTACTTCAACGGCCAGGACTGCCAGTCCTGCCACCGCTTCTGCGCCACTTGTGCCGGTACCTTCCACGGTTCTTTTGTTCCTTCTCCTGGCTCTGGACTTGCTCTGGTTTTAGCTATCACTCCTGCAACCCATTTGATACTTTTGAAGTAAATTCTAGAGAAACAGATCTCTTTTTCAGTAATCGTGCATGTATTCTCGCTCAAAGTCAAAGAGCCCTAAGCATCCCGTCCTCGTTGAGAAACTGAAATAACCCAGTGATATCTTCTCTTCTTTCCAAGGAGAGTGGATATTTTTGGCAAATAGGTTCCATTTAAACAGGGGTGGGGGGGGATGGGGAGGGTCCCCAAGGAAATTAAGAAAAAGCACAAATATTAAATTATTGCTCTTAAAATGGTTGCAGATGAATGTCATTTTTGCAAGCCATTAAAGAAGAAGCCCCATTATGCAACCGCCACTGAGGTTCCATTTCTGTTCCCTGCCTTTGTCTTCCTTTCAAGGGGCGGGAGCTGATGGGTGCATTAACTGCACGGAGGGTTACTTCATGGAGGATGGGAGATGCGTGCAGAGCTGCAGTATCAGCTATTACTTTGACCACTCTTCAGAGAATGGATACAAATCCTGCAAAAAGTAAGTGAATCTGCCCCCTGGGCCCTAGCATTTGGGACCTGGGCTCTTTATAAGACTACTTTCATAAATAATAAGGAAACTTAGAATTTTTAATGATAAAATTGGCTTTAAACATTTACCTATGGACACTGCCCTGCACCTTTAACTCAACTTATCTTTGATATTTTTAATTTTTTTTTTTAATGCAGGAGCACTTTAAAACCTCTAAAGTAGTATTTCTATGTCAAGTACCTTCTAAATCCCCTTTAAAAATCACAGTGTCAGGCCGGGCACAGTGATTCACACCTGTAATCCTAGCACTCTGGGAAGCCGAGGCAGGTGGAGCGTTTGAGCTCAGGAGTTCGAGACCAGCCTAAGTAAGAGCGAGACCCCGTCTCTACCAAAAATAGAAAGAAGTTCATTGGACAGCTAAAAATAGACAGAAGAAATTAGCCGGGCGTGGTGGCACATGCCTGTAGTCCCAGCTCCTCAAGAGACTGAGGCAGGAGGATCGCTTGAGCCCAGGAGTTTGAGGTTGCTGTGAGCGAGGCTGACACCACGGCACTCTAGCCCAGGCAACAAAGTAAGATTCTGTCTCAAAAAAAAAAAAAAAGAAAAATCACAGCGTCTACCTGCTAGGATTTCTTTAATGTTATCAAACCTAGAAATTATTGTAAGGAAAAAATTTTTAAAGATTTTTAAGACATTATGTTAAGAATTATGTTTAAGACAAAAAGGTAAGCATACCTTTCCCTGTGCATGACATGTGAATGGATAAAAAACTTGCACATTTTTCCATAGATGTGATACCAGTTGTTTGACGTGCAATGGCCCAGGATTCAAGAACTGTACAAGCTGCCCCAGTGGGTATCTCTTAGACTTAGGAATGTGTCAAATGGGAGCCATCTGCAAGGATGGTGAGTACAATTGCTCATTTTCATCTTCTGAGCAAAGTGTGATCTTTCTACTTTAAGGTCTAATCTTTTTCCACTTAAAATAAAACAACCATGTGTCAGATAGGACACACTCAACATCTTGTTGGCATTCATTCATCTTGAACTTACACCTTTAATGGATTGTTTGTTTACTGTTGGTTTGAATTGCAAGAAGAAATAAATCACCAACAGTCTTACTAGCCAGATGGCTCCAGTTAATTTTATTTTTTCATTGATAAACTTTATTTTTTAGAGCAGTTTTAGATTGAGAGCAAAATTGAATATGAAGTTCAGAGGTTTCCCATATACTCCCTACCCCCACGCATGCACAGCCTCCACGACTATCAATCTGACACCAGAGTGGTAAATTTGTTATAATTGATGAACCTACATTGTCACATCATTATCACCCAAAGTCCACAGTTTATATTAGGGTTCATTCTTGGTGTTGTACCTTCTATGAGTTTGGTCAAATATATAATGACACATATCTACCATTATATATCAGACAGAGCAGTTTCACTACCCTAAAAATCCTCTGTGCTCTGCCTACTCATCCCTCACTCCCCAATCCCTGACAACCACTGATTTTTTTTTTTACTATCTCCATAGATTTGCCTTTTTCAGAATGTTATATAGTTGGAATTATACAGTATGTAGCCATTTTTAGTTAATTGTTGATATATTTCTTTCCAGTCTTTTGCCTTGTGTACTTTTTGCCAGATGTTTTTAGTAGCATGGACATGAGAGTCTTCTATCCTGCTTTTCACACTAAGCATTAGGCATAAACATCATCCTATGTTTTTATGAAGTCTTAGGAAACTTTATTTTTAATGACAGCATAAAACCCAATCATATGAAGATGCTGTAGGTTTTTTTGCCACTCTCCTATTCTTTAGGCTATTTATAATTTTGATATGTAAATAATAATCAAATGGTATTTGAATCTTTGTTAAATCTGTGAGTCTAGAAATTAATATTCCAATCTTACAAAAGGGAAAATTCAAGGTGTAAAGCTAGAAAGTGTTAGAACCAAGTATAGAACTTAATACTTACAAATATTGGTCCGATTATTTTTTATTTCTTACACCAATGGTTCACAACCAAGATGCTGGGACCCCACACCTTCCCCAGAGATTCTGATTGAATTATTGACCTGGGGTGAAGCCTAAGCATGTATTTGAGCTTCTCCTGACCTTCTCTTAGAAATGATGTTTCTACTGTGCAGGCAGGTTTGAGGACCACTGCACTGTCCCCTTCTCCCTGACAATTTGGCAAATGCCAAGTCCCCTCACGTCTCTAGCCTCAGTTTCCCTATCTGTGAAATGTATGAATTTAAATTATTCCAACTCCCAGCATTTTGTGAACTTAGACTTTCAATATAATTTATGCGGAGGGAGCCCTAAAATGTGTGCCTGAATTTTACGCAGAAATTGTTTGGAACTCTTGTTGCTCACAACCTCTTTGGATCATTATAAAAATAGAAAAAGGGAAAAAAGTATGCATTTGGAACATGCTAATTGCCCTAGGTTTATTCTTTCCCTCCTCTTGAATATTTTCCCTTGTGAAAATGTCACCAGAGACAGAGCAGTACTATGACTGGGAGAATGTGGACTTGGGAGTCAGAATGCTGTAGTTCATATCTGGGCTTCAGGCCTCAGGCAGGTTATAAACTTACCTGGGACTCATTTCTCTTATCTGTAAAAAAATAAAAATGATAATACTATTGACCTCGAATGATTATTCTACAGTTCCCTATTAAGAATCTCAAAAAGGCATCAAAAAGAACTGGGCACATGATGGCACTGATAGAACATCGTGTGCGATCTCATTTCCTTGGAGCACCACAGGTGACTGCATCTTCATGGCTTTTCTGATGTGTGATTGGCCTGGCAAGGTGCACCTGACCCACTCAGGCTGTGTTCCAAGGGCTTCTTGCCAGGGCTGATTCTAACTGCACCACACCGGGGCGAGAGGCCCAGGGTGGAGTTACCCAGGGACCATGTAAGTATCATCACACTTTAGTTACCAGCAAGTGCCTCCTTACCTTTTAGTTCAGAAGCTTGATGCCCCTCTATCTGCATATGACCAGAACTTTTTGTTAGTACCAGAAAACTGAGGAAGATATTTTTAAGTGATCAATGCAGGAAATCCACTATATAACTTGAAGTTTTCACCAATAGCAGTTGGTGCCAGGCACTTCAAAATTTGTGATGCTTTAACTGCTTTCCCTAAACCATGGTGAGCATGGGATAGGTTAAATGGCACTTTGCTAAAAGTGGAATGTCAAGATCATGGGCAAAATAGGTCAAAAAAATGAAATCTTTGATGGCTCACCTGGCTTTTCAGATCACATTGCAACTGCATTTTGAGGTGTGCTATGTATTCTTTTCCAACTGCCATATTTCCGTGATTCTAAGACATACGGGTTTTTTTTTTTTTTTACATTTTAAAGCATTAAATCAGATGCATCTTCTAATTTGTGGTAGTTTACAGCTTCTTTGGATCAGAAGGTTAATATGACAAGTATCACTGCCCAGATAAGAGACTTGGGCACAGAGATGTCTGTTCCACTGAGTTAGGTGCTTAGTCACTACTCCTTGTGTTAAATTTATTAATAATTGCGGTTCCAAAGTGCTTCAGAAAATTAAACTCCTGTTCAATATCCAAAGGAAGGGTTCTTGCCTAAGCACGGAAGCACAACAGAATGTTATATAAGAATAACAAATACTTTTAATAAGTATAAAATTAAAATTCTAATTGATAAGAGAATATTGTGCCACAGTTTAATAAGAACCATTTTTTTTCTTTCTGTTACTTCAAATGATGGTGCATCTTAAGTCCTGTGTCTTAGATTCAATGAAATATAGTACAAATGATTGTATACTCTCTGCTCTAGGTCATTCTAAGAAGAAAAATTCCTTGCTTTTGTTATTGATTTCTAATTTATTCTTTTTCTAATCTTTTTTTTTTTCCTTTCACCAATGGATACCAATCACATTTACCGTTGGACTGCAATATCTCTCCTTGAAAAACAATGCTGTTGACTGAAATCACTGTGGGTGAACCAAATTTCCTCCTTGTTGACTGCTCCTGAATGATCTCTTCCAATCCCCCAATCTGCCTCTCTGGCCAATCACAACCTTCTTCCGTGTGTGCTCATCATGCCGCTCTCGTCCTCAACTCCCCCTCTCTATTGCTGACTTCCCGGAAAAGCAACGGAAGAGTCCTGGGCTGAAGGAGGCTTCTGTATGCTTGTGAAAAAGAACAATCTGTGCCAACGGAAGGTTCTTCAACAACTTTGCTGCAAAACATGTACATTCCAAGGCTGAGCAGCCATCTTAGATTTCTTTGTTCCTGTAGACTTATAGATTATTCCATATTATTAAAAAGAAAAAAAAAAAAAAAAAAAGCAAAAAAAAAAAAAAAAAAAGCAAGCCACCTCTCTCTTTCTTGCTTTCTTTTTCTCTCTCTCTCTCAAGTTTGTGCAGGGAGATGGTGAACTGTTTTGTCAGAACTTAAATGGAAAAAAAAAAAAAAAGAAAAATAAACCTACAACAAGCCTACCTTTTATAACTGGGTGTTTAGTGCTAAACAGCCAGAACCACAGAGACAGTATTGTATGACCAAAGCATTTGATGCCAAAATTTGACTTTAAAGTAATGATTTGATTTCCTGCCCTGGTTTTGAAGGTCCATTTTTTTTTTCCCTTTTGCATTTACTTGCCTGTTTCCCCTTTGAGACGCCTAAAAATACCTTTCCAAAACATCGCAAGAGCATACATAGATCAAAATGAAACAGAAAGCTCTTGCATAAGTCATTTTTCATGCTTGAGTCCACCATGGGGGGAAATGGCAGAAAACTGGACCTGAGGGCATTAGGAACATCCTACACAGTCGTGTTCAGTGTCATTTGTGTTAGTATGTCACAGTTGGACATTGATGCTTTCCACACATAATTGACTTCATGCATTATGTACTGGTTTTTACGTTTTACTCACTTGATAAGTCTGCTCCACTGGTTTCATCATCAGATAGACTTGCTGCTACTGGCTTTTCCATTGTAGGTTGGGTTATTTTACACAAAGTTCATCAAATGGGATTGCTCTGTATAGTCAAATTAGTGATGGACAGATGGGCAGAATGAAGAGATACATGAAAGAGCTGAGACTGATCCAGCTTCCCTGAAATCCAGAATGTTAACTCTGTAGACCCTGCACAATCTCTTGGTGCTATCTAGCCATTATCCCCATAGCATTTTTTTAAAGGCCATCAGAAATTCCATTTATCATGGTGGGAATACATTTTGGGGTATGATACAGGAAATTTCTTCCTGGAGTCAAAAGTTTCTAAGCAGTCCTGTATTTTTTAAGAAATGGAATTTATTTAAATAATATTTAAGCTCGTGCCCATGTTGGCCAGGCAACGTTTTTCAATGGTGCTTATTAGAAGTTTTTTCATCTTGTCATTTTAAGAAAATAAAACTGGAAATTGAATATGGGTGGCATGATTGTACCCTCCTGATTCTCTTATTTTCCGACTCTTCTGTCCCTCTGTAACTGTGCCATGCCGTTACACACCTGTCCACTGAATGTCATTGAAACCATCTGTTTTTGTTTGTTTGTTTTAGGAATATTTTCACTGGTTTTCTATGACTCCCTAAACATTTCATGAAAACTAGCAGGTTGAATTATGAGAAAACTGTTTTGGATCAGTAGTCAGAAACAATGTAACCTTATCGATCTTTTCACAGTTTCTCTCTTGAGGGGAGGGTAGACTGATGGCAGATTTCTTCGTTTTTCATATCAAAGCTCCATTGGTGACCTCATTTACTTAGGGAGTGACCAGCATCTTGTAGGCTTTACACTTCTGAGAGCCTCACTTCCAAGGTGCCACTGGCTTCATAGCTATGAGGAGGAATGGTGTCAATACAGGCTATCCCAGGAAAAAGACAGCAAGTGGGTGCCAAGATCCCCATCCAAG